CGTGTAAGGGATGTTAACTGAAATTTTGATCTCGCTTCCGCATTTGATATATTTAAATACTCATTTCATTTTAATATTTCCGGGGCCGTTACAGCTTTATCTTATGCCATTAAGGAAAAAAAAATAGGGTGTGACACTTTATTTGAGTGTCATCGCGGACCACGACATGGGCTTTGTATCTTTCGACGGAGCTGTCTGAGTGGTACTTAATCTGAAAGACCCATTTGGAGCTAATGGGTTTCTTTATAGGAGGAAGATCTTCGATGGTCCAGCTGTCAATTCTCTCCAGAGCAATAATTTCATCTTGCATGGTAGCGTGCCACTTATTAGGGTTGCGGGCATCCTCTGAATAGTGTCAAAGCTCAATATCAGTGGAAACAATAGCTAAAAAATGAGTGCGCGCAGTAGAGAACTGATCACAGGAGGCATAGTTGGCTAGTGGGTACCGGGTGTCTATTGAATAATTTCCATTGGGTGCCAAAAGATGAGCCAGTGACAGACAAAATCCTGAACTGCGACCGGGAGGCACTTGGTTGTCTTACCACGACCCAAATCTGTCCCGAAAACATCGACTGCATGTGGATATAGGGGTTGTGACTCAGACAAATATGGAGGAGAGGCAGTACTGATAGGAAGTCCCGTTGTTGAGGAAATTAAACTCTGATAATGCCAATCCCACTAAGTTACATAAGGCAAATGAGAGGGAGACAATGACTACAGCCCTGACTCTTTGTCGGAGTGAATATGAGCAAAGGGGAAGACATTTTCTTTGAATAGGAGATTGCAAGAGATGAAAACTATAGAGGTTTTCAGGTCCAGTACCTTCAAACCCTTATTACTGTATAGATATCTGAGCAAGACACAACGACAGCCGTGAGGAGGAAACTTATTAGTTTCCCCAGAATTGGCAACAACATAATGGAGATATGCAAAAACCCGTAGATGGTTATATGCAGGGGAGGCAGAAAATAGAAATTCATGTGGAGTTTTTTCATTGAGAGCAATCCTAGGAATGCAATTAATAAGATGAGCGGCTATGAGGCTACATTCTCCCCATAGCTCGAGAAGAAGATTGGCTTGAAAGCGTAGAGCCCGTGCGACTTCAAAGATGTGTCGATGTTTTCATTCCACCTGACCATTTTACTGAGGAGTGTCTACCAGCGATGGTTGATGGAGAATACTAGGTGAAACGTAAAATGACTGCATCGCATGAGACTCAAATTCGGTCCTATTATCATTCCAAATGATCTTGAAATTTTTTTCAAACTGTCGTTAAATCATTGAGCAGAAATTGCGAAGTAAACTACTGGCCTGGCTTTTATCAGTTAGCAAGTAAACCCATACTACTTGACTAAAATCATCAATAATGGTCAGAAAATAGCGAGCTTCAGAAAGTGTATAAACATGGTACGGTCCCCAAATGTCATAATGAATTAATTCAAAGCATTTGTTTGTATGAGTACAACTAATCAAAAATTTAAAACGTATTTGTTTGGCATGACAACATACATCACATAAATTGTTATATTTTAGAAAATTAACTTGAACACCAGGAAGATTAAGTAGCTTTCGGCGGGAGAGATGACCCGATCGTTGATGCCAGAGAGAATAAAAATCCATAGTAATTACAGTAGTAGTGGTAACCATCGCTAAAGGATGGAACAGGAAAATACCCTTGTGTGGTTTACCCAGACTAATCAGGTTATTCGTAGAACGGTCCTATATAGCACACATATGAGGAGCAAAGGCTATAATACAATTTGAATCATTTATCAATTGCCTAATAAAGAGTAAATTAACCGAGAGGTACGTAACAAATAAAACATTGCGAATGAGGAAACTCGAGTGAAGCAACACCATTCCCTCTTTTACCGCTGATGTCTGCATACAATCAGGAAGTCCTACTGGAGTTGGAGCTATGTCATGAATGGCAAAAAGTAAAGCTATATTATCAGTCATATGATGAGAGGCTCCACTATCAATGAGCCAAGATATGGTAAAAAGATCAGCCTTACCACTTAGTGACTTAGAGGTAGATGGTGGCAGTTTAATAAAGTGCAAATAAGCGTTGTATTTGTTTGGGTGTCAGGCCAGTCCGAGCTGCCGGCTGCTAAAGCAAGTGGAGACCATATCTGCTGCTGTTGACAACAAGTCGTGGGATTAAGATTTAGGTGGCGAGGTTTGCCTCGGTTACGTCTGCGTCCCTGTGGGAAAACACCTAATTGGGTTAAACAACGATCAAACGTGGTGGGCCTAGCCGGTGACAGTAGGACAATAAGTGGCAGAAAGGGACCAACCACTTGGAATGTAGTCTGGCAAGCCAGACACGGGTAAAAGGTTGAGACGTGGCC